CTGCACTGCTACAGATGCACCGCTCCTAAACGCACTGCCAGACCACGACCGTGTGTGCAGTGTGAACGATTTAATCCGTTAACATGAGCAGAGCATGGAAAAAATACGTGCAGCTCACTTATAGTGCAGACGCGATGTGGTTTGAAGCCATCTGCATTCTGAAAGAGAAAGAGCGCGTGCGGTGATTCCGCGCTCCAAAGTTGTTTAAGCGACATACATCATAACAAAAATAAACACCGGTATTCGGTATGAACCGGTATACCGCCCAGCACTACTGGTTTACTATTTTATTTCTTTTCTTTTTTCTGCCCAATCGCGTTTCGAGGGGGGTCCACCGGTAAAAATCGCGTTCCAGGGGGTAAAATAAAAAATTTTTGGAGAAAAAACGAAATTATCGCAAAGGCAATTAATCATTCAGCCCTACTGCAGGATTAAATGCATGCAAGTCATATGTCGGTCTTAGCCTACATTTCACTGAACCGCGTGTGCAGCTCATACTTCAGATGATAAGTGGGTCATAACATCTCAGAGCTCTCTGTCATTATACATCACGACCCCAGAGCAGACAGGTCAGCAGTCCTGACCCACATGGTGCCATCTGCACGCTGATGCTAGTTCTGCATCACCAGTTCTCCATTCAGACCTTCACTCTCACTTTGGCTTCAATGTTCTCCACAGAATGCTGCAGTATAATTTGCAGTATGACCAAATTCACATAACAACAGATATGGTATCCTTATAAAAGATATTTTTGCCAGAAATTGGGTTTATATTAAGAAATATATAAGTTAATGTCCATTTATTTAATTATCTGTGAATTTAATACTATACAAAAATTCTGAATTATTTTCTTTTTTATTTCTGACTTAATGCATACAAAACATGCATGTTTAGTTTAGTGTTGTTATTGTTAACTAAAAGTAAAACTACTAAAAATATTTTTGTTAATTGAAATTGGGCGGAAATATGCAAATATTAGATAAATAAAAAAAATAAAAAAAACTTAAATGAAAATTATAAATACAATAGAAATAAAACAAGTTTAAGCTGAGATTTTAAAGCTAAATAAAAAAATTTAAATAAATGAAAGCTAAATAGAACAATTAAAACAAAATAGCAGAAGTACATAACAAAATTACTAAAACTAAAATTAAAATATAAAAGTAAAAGCTAATTCAAAATATTAATAAATACTAAAATATTATATAAATAAAACAACATTTTACCTTGATTATTCTTAAATGACCTGAAAAATCATGTAAACACCTTAAATCACACACTTTAATCAGGGAAAGGTCATAAACGGATTAATAAAAACATAATGTTTTGACCTTTAGCACAATTTCTCTGCATGTAAATATGATTACCGTGGTTATTGCGGCTTTGTGCATGTCAGTTTATGTTTTGACATTAAAACTAGAGAAAAAAACTGCCTGGCATCAGTGCATAAACAGCTTCACATTGAAAACAAAAATAATATTCTAAATCATATAGCAACCCTAATAACATTTTACCTTGATTATTCTTAAATGACCTGAAAAATCATGTAAACACCTTAAATCACACACTTTAATCAGGGAAAGGTCATAAACAGATTAATAAAAACATAATGTTTTGACCTTTAGCACAATTTCTCTGCATGTAAATATGATTACCGTGGTTATTTTTGTGCATGTCAGTTTATGTTTTGACATTAAAACTAGAGAAAAAAACTGCCTGGCATCAGTGCATAAACAGCTTCACATTGAAAACAAAAATAATATTCTAAATCATATAGCAACCCTAAATGATCTAAGATCAGTCAGATGCACATCAGTTAAATTCTACATTCTGTCCATGTTGTGCTCAAAACCCATTAACAACATTTTCTTCCTAGTCTTGACTAGTTTGGGATTAGAGAACAATCCAGGAAAATTGCATCCATTAACACCAAGCACACTCTGGAGGAAATGTGTTAATAATGGGCTTCCACCGTCAGAAAGCATCCATCCATCAACCAACGCCAGTTCACATGTGGCATACGGATGGCGATTGGATTACATCAGTTAAATCGACCACAAATGCACATCCCTGACACATGCAGGCACATAAACATACATGCCGGAAAAAAATAGGAAAAGAAAAGGCCTATATGACACAAATCCCATTGAACCTACAAAGACGTGATTGAAAAAAAGCAGTACAGTACATGACAAATGAGCTGTTCCTTCCACTTCGGTCCCTGATGCATGAATACGGCAAGACGTCACTCGTGTGGCTGAGAAACGCCAGCATCTCTGACAACAGTGGATTTGTGATGTGATTTGTTCAGTGTTGAATTACTTCCTTGTATAATGAAACACTGTGATGTTTTGCTGTTTGTCTGAGTGGCCTGACATGTCAATTTATGACACCAATGAAATGAGTTCAGTATGTTGAACAATGAAAGGGGGGAAAACATTGTTTATAGTGTTTTGCTTATAGTGCAAAAATTACCCACTTCAGCTTCATTTACTGCCAAACTCTCATATAGACGTTTCAGTAAAGCCATGATGGCACAAACAGAATGGGATGAGTGACAGACCAAGGAGATATCCAACTTCTATTTCATCTGCAAAACATAACATGCTTACATTGGGCCTGTAACATGATTATGCGTGGCTGGAAAACACACACTCACACATTCACCTCTGGTTATGCTCAAAAAAATACCTTCGCAGCATGCAGATCCACCGACTTTCTGCTGCATATTTCATTTTAAAGAGATGTTTCAAGTAAGTTAGAAATCTCTTCTGCATTTATTAGATAATACGGTTAAAAATACAGTAAAAGCAGTACAATTGTGAAGAAAAGCATTCTAAATATTAGCACAATAGCACAGCATTACTGTTTAAAAGTTTGGTGTATGTACGATTTTTAATGTTTTTGAAATAAGTCTCTTTTGCTCACCTAGGCTGCATTTATTTGATCAAAAATACAGTAAAAAAAAAAAAAAGTTAAATCGGGAAATAAGTTTACAATTTAAAATAACTGTTTTCTATTGTAGTATATTGTAAAATGTAATTTATTCCTGTGATGCAAAGCTGAATTTTCAGCATCATTACTCCAGTCTTCAGTGTCACATGATCCTTCAGAAATCCCTCTAATATACTGATTTGCTGAATTTCTTATTGTAAATGTTGAAAACAGTTGTGCTGCTGCTTAATAGTTTTATGAAAACTGTGATACATTTTCTTCTACAAGTTCAAAAGAACAGCATTTATTTGAAATTTGACATCTTTTAAAAATGTCATTACTGTCACTTTTGATCAATGTAATGCATCCTTGACGAATACAAGTATTCATTTCTCAATCTTAATCATTTGTAACAGCACTCAAAGATGCACTGTGGGACTGAATCCATACACAACAACAGACAAAAGGGTAAAACAACGTCAACGACAAAGCCAAAATTAGCAGCAGCAGATATTCCCTGGGCCAGTAAATCATCTCCGCCTGATAGATGCTCAGAAACGCACGACAGCATGCAACACAAGAACATCTCTAAGAAACTCAATCAGGGCGTTTCCTTCACCTAGCTGCAAGATGAGATGGTGTCGGGGTGGACGCGTGCACACTGACGACTGAATGATGGAGATATACCTGCTCAGATTTCATAAGTATATTCATGTCCTCATAGCAAAGAACAATGTCAAGCGCTCGAGCCAAAGATCATGATACAGAATACAGCAAGAGGTTAAAGAGGGTGTTACACAACCTGCCTTGCCAATAAAATTTATGTCTCCACAGAGTCCTATCATACAAGTTATGAGCCAAACACATCTAAATGAGATAAAGACGCACAACAAGAGTAACTTGTAAACATAATTGTGGCATTCAAACTGTTTAACCTTATTCCATTTCCAAAGTGAAGGCAGTGGTGGACTACTGGTAACCAATAGGACTGCTAAAATAAATTTGATAAACAAGATATATTTTTAGCTTCAACATTATTTGTTCTTCAGACATTCCTCTTTAAAAGAAACAAAAGTACATGGGGTCGCATTGAGATCCCCATATGTCTGGAACCGAACTATATAGGGCCTTAAAAATGAATGTACCAAAAGAAAAGTTTGTTAAGAACCAGAACATAAAAGGATATTAAGATATCGTTAAGACTTCTCGAGTTGCAGGCATGTAAACATTGGAAAAAGAATAATTATGGCACTCATACAGGCATGTTCTATGCAATTGGTTTGATAGAGTGAAACACAATATATTTCTAGTTTCAACATTATTTGTTTTTCAGATATTCCCCTTTAAAAGAAAAAAAGTATTAGCTGTATGCAAAGTGACCAACATTTGGTTTTTGACCACTGAAAATGTGTACAATTCAACAATTTACTCACAGGGCCACATTGAGATCCCCACATCTCTGGAACGGTACCATAAGTGCCTTAAAAAATAATATATCAAAAGAAAAGTTTGTTAAGAACCAGAATCTTAAAGGATATTAAGATATCTTTAATACATTTTGAGTTACAGTCATGCAAACCTTGGAAAAAAAAACATTTCAAAAAGTGCTTTTTCCCATTTTTGGACTGTCATATAATGCAACAAAGATTGCTAAAGTCAACAGATTTTTCTAATAGACCAACCAATCTCTGTGTAAAAATAAAATGATGCTGCCATCTTTCTAAAGTACTTTTTATCCCCCTGTAGTTTGGCTCCAAATCTCAGGTGAAAAATGGTCGTTTTGGCACTCTCTTCAAGATACAGGATTACTCAGTAAATATACATCCATGACATTTAATATTTTGGCTTTCGTCAGAAAAAAATTACAAAATCAAAAATTTTGTTTGGCAAGTTTCTGAAATTTGGTTGAATTGGCACAATGACCCAACAGCATGTTTGAGAGCTGACAAAACACTCGTTATTTTTAAAGATTTTAATTTTCCATATTCCAAAACCAACTAAAAACATTCATTGTCATGATATTCTCGTCTCCGCCAAATGACAACAGTTACCCAAATACGGTTTGAATGAATGAGGCCTGTTGTGGTGTCAACCAGCAGCTGGCAGAGACCTGCTCTGATGATGCCAGTCACAACTGTTGGTCATTAACAAGTACGAGACAGAATGAACCAGATGGGTGACTGACTACAAACCAAGCACAAATGTGCATAGCTAAAGATCCGTGATATGCAATAAAAATAAAATCAATTAAAAATATCTTCTCCAATGCACCCAAACCAAAAGTTTCTGTGATATTCTGGTCTGTAGATATGATTTGAGTCTGTGGATTGCCCATTTTATCACCCACCAAGCAAAAAATAAATAAAAATCGATCACATCTCAACAAGAAACATGATTTGAGGAATCATTCATGTTTGGAGCACAAACATCTTGGATGAATCACATACTGAAGTTTCATGCTCAGTGTCAATGGTTTGTATAAATCACTATAAGCATTAGTAATAGTGACAATTGCCTTATGAAAGGTCATTTTTGATGGGCTCTCATTTTTTAGAGTGTATATATATGAGCCTGATGATGTATAAATTTTGATACTCAACAAAAAACATTCCATTTCAAAATATAACTACTACTTCCTATTTCAGGCTTTACAGGGTTATATGCAGCAATGGAGAGCCTTAATATAGAGGATCCAGAAGATGGAAATAATGAAGTAGAATCATCTGACATGCGTGATTTTGCAGAGATGATGGCTGTAAAGGCAGACGGATCGAGCAAGTTAACTTCAACTCCAAAGTCGCAGCAGCATAAAGAGACGGACTCAGCTTCATTTGGGGATGTTATCAGACGGTTACCCCTGCTGAACGCTTTACTAGTTGAACTCTCACAGCTGAACGTCCAGACGGCGCAGCAGCAGGCCTTATCGGTTCATCCTAACCTGGCGTGGTTGTACACATCAGCACAGGAGCCATCAGGAGTAAAACCCAAAGCTGAGAATCAGAAAACAAACCCTAAACAGAGACTTGATCAATGCACGATGAAAGCAGTAAAGAGTGCAAAGAGAAGCAAAGAAAAATTGCAACCTAAGAAGACGCTTAAATACGGCTTGACAAATACTTTTCGTCTCAGACTCAAACTGGTCAAACCAGGTACCAAAAGGCATGAATGCATCGAATACCAGGATGCAAAACAAGACCAGCCATCATCATCTGACCATAAACGTGTTCGTAAGGCAGCTAGAAGGGGTGTTTGTTCGGATGAAACTGTTGAAACATTAATAAGCAGTTTTGATATGCACCCAACACCAACTGCAACTGCATCAAAATCACAAACAAGATCAAGTATTGGAAAACACATCACAAGTGCGCCAAATGAGGAACGTCATTTGACTGAGAAAGACAAAAAAGTTCAAGTTCATATTCCAAGTCAGTATTCAGAGCGCAGTGACCAGCATTCAGCTTCATCTATGCATGATTCTACTCTTGGCTTCCAGAGAGGAGATAGTAGAGCGAGCAGTAATGGCTTGAGTAATGGCTCCTACGGACAAGAAGAGTATCAGGATGACTTCACGAGCCTAAACACAACCGAGGGATACTCACCCGACCCGTTCAGCAGTCCAGAACCAAGCCGACGTAAGAGAAACAGCAGTTCGAGCTCTTCAAGCTCCTCTCATCCAAGCAAAGGTCTACCTGTTCCTGCAAAGTGGAGAACTCTCCACAACGTGCTCTCAAAAGCACACACGTCATCCGACCGCGTCTTCAGACCTCCGCTCTGAGTCTGTCTTCAGATGAGGATGAGTTTGAGTCTGGAGGTCACAGGCCTGGCCACAGCAGTGGACCAAAGACTCCATCTGTGCGCAGGACATTTGGAAAATCAGAGAGCTTTGACAGTGACACTGGTGATAAGGGCATGACATTTAGCTGGGTGTCAGAGGACTCCGATTTAGCTGCTAATAACCCGGTGCTAAAGTCCATTTCATCGTCAGAGCTTGAAGAGGAACGGGATGAACTGGGCTCTCTGGGACTGGACAAGAATTACCATCACATTTCAGAACTGGTGATCAACAAACTACCAGGCTATACACTGTGATTAGACAATGTTAATCTAATAGTGAAAATGGGTTAACACCAGAAACTAGCGAACATCATCTGATTTATTAGTCAATATGTTTTTATATACTGAATTGTTGCATAGAACTGCATATATTGGCAAGCAGTCTTTTGTGTGGTCATTCTGTTTTAACAAATGCAGCTTTTGATATGTATTTAAGAAATGTTATTGTTAATTCATATATTTCATAATTTGGGAAACAGCAAATAAACAATAATTTGTTACAGCAATAAGCACACGGTTGTTTCCAAATCAGAGCCTTGAATCCATTGATAAATGACTAATGAACCAGTGTTAAGTCATTTAGTAGGGATAAAACGGGAATGTGGATTAGATTGAATTAATATTTGTTTTAAATTACATGCCTCATGCTTTTCTTACAAAAAAGATGCCTTGTATATACACTTAAATCTTTAAACATAGCAGAAATGTTGTATAATATAAATCTGATAAATATACATACATAATACAAACATATATAATACATTAACTTACAAAGAGCAATACATTTGTTACAGTATTTATTAATCTTTGTTAACATTAATTAATAAAAGTTCAACTGTTCATTGTTGGTTCATGTTAGATATTATATATATATATATATATATATATATATATATATATATATATATATATATATATATATATATATATATATATATATATAT